ACAATATATCACAGACACACAGCAAAGCAATGAGCTGGGAAAAGGTATCTTCGTGATGAAATTACATATATATTAGTGTACAACTGTACATACCAAACTACGTTTATATCTTATAGCGATTTAACTAAAGTAAATATTAAATAAATTCAATAGCAACGACCGAGCAACTATGATTAATAAGAATAAAAATGGGAAGGTTAAAAATGAGAACGAAATTGTATATATGGTGCTGAAATATGTCATGGCAGATGCTGCCTAGCTTCTCCTTCACTCAGTTGCAATTAATTATAACTGTAGACATTACAGGCTCACGAGACGAATCTCTTCCATTCAACATGTGATGAGAAAAAAAATGTTATATCATGGTTGCTGATATATCTTTCTTTGTTAGAATTTTCTTGATATGGAAGATCTAATATCAGCTTATTCAAAGTTGTTCTTGTGACCGCTGAAGATGAAACGTTCTATTCGTTGATCGGTCTATATATCATCACTATATGGTAAGCTAATTTGGGTCCCATAGAAGAGGAAAACAAAATCATCACCATATATACACAATGCAGATACATGCATGAATACTAGCTTCGAGGAAAAAAACAACCTAAAATTTTAAAATATTTTAAAAATAATAATCCAAATCTATCTCAATAAAAGACCTTGTCTTCTAGCTAATAGGAGCTCTCATAAATCCACAATTTGTACCTTAATTAAGTACATATGCATATGTGCATATGCATTATAGATATTTATCCGTCATGATCAGCTGATGAGTTAATCAATGAATTCGGTAAAAATATATATTTAAGAGAGTTGGATTGATAGAATGGTCTTGGGCTTACAAAGCATAAGTTAAATGGATTAATAGAATGCTATTAATTAGAAGAAAAAATAAATGGATTAATAGAATGTTGTTAAAAGATTATATAATTTATATTTTAATTTTGTAAAGTTGGATGATGACATTTTGTAAGATTATTTTATAATTATTTAGTTATAAAAATATATCTTTTTAATCTTTGAAATATTAATAAAAATATCTCAATTTATGTTCATCTTTTTTATAATTTTTTTTTAATTATTTAATAGTTGAAATATATAAGTAATTATAGAGCTGATAGCTGATATAAGATAATGACCACAATAATATTAATGATAATAATTAATAATTATGATAATGATGACTATTGTAAAATAGATTAATAACCATATATATTTATGGGATGTATATAGTATGTATATTATTTAGTAGGAAATAATTAACTTCTCTATTAGTACCCTCCTATATTTTTATCATTAGAGTTAAATAAAACTACAGAAAATTTAAAGATAAATTGAATTTTTTTTATTGATGCTTTTAAAGGTTAAGAAAATATATTTTTATAACCAAATAATAATGATCTTCCAAGTGTTATCATCCAACTTTAAAGAATTAAAATATAAACTACTATTAATGTACTTAAATTTTCTTTTATTTTGAGTTTTGCAAGGCCTATAATTGATATGAAAAGAATCAAAGTAATTATCCATCTTTTAGTAAGATGTACTATTAAACTATACTTTTTAATTTATAAAACTCTGAACCTAAAATCTTATATATGATAATATGGTAGAGAATTGGTAATGTACGTGTGCATTCACGTGAGCTTTTTACACAGGTAAGTGTCTAACAAACATTCATGTGTTGAAGCTTGACATAGGTTAGTAACGACCTGATTGAAAGCGTCCTGTGTTGTTGACTCAAAGGGCAACTGAACAACGTACGTGACCCTTATTCAAATACGTGGGAGCCATATTGGCAAGTTGGTCGTCACAATCCATCACTTTTAAACTTTTATTTGGTAGGGTGTCAATGATAATTGCTAATATTCCCTTATCTCTCTCCATTCAGCTTACCATATAGTGACAATTTTGTTTTCCTCTGCTACACTGCTATTGCCAACTTGGCTGTCAGTATGGTAGGATCACTCGAAGAATTTTTTTTTTTTTTGAAATCACTCGAAGATGGAGAAGGATTGAAGAGATATCTACCAAAAAGAATATCAAGAAAAAGTAAGCAAGATTATTTGAGGGTTGATCGAAAAATACAAGAAGTTACTGGAGGTTTTTGAGCAGAAGGATTGAACAGGGATCTACCAAAAAGAATATCAGGAAAAAGTAAGCAAGACTATTCGAGGGTTGATCAAAAAATGCAAGAGGGAGTTACCGGAGGTTTTTGAGCAGTTAAGTAGTTACCCTAACGTAGTTACTTAGTCGAAGAAATAAAAACGTGGGGCGAGCAGTTACGAGATATTATATCCTTAGCCCACGTAAGCGACGTAGTGGACAGCGATTATGTGCCCACGATGAATTTACACAAAATTAACCGCTCTCGATGATCTCTATAAATAGAAGAAACAACTTCGGATAAGGGTCGGAAAAAATCATACTTACGCTCTCAAGCACTCACCGCCTGTGCATATGACTTTCGTGCATGGAATTGCTGGGTATGACAAATTCTTGACCACAATTCTTTTCTTGTTCTAGGATTAGTGTAGTTAATTTCAATTTGTAGTTAGTTTAATTCTGGTATTGTAATTTGATCATTATGCGAAGTGGACTATGATTTTTATTGCTAATATATTTATTGTTCATTCTATTTATCTGAGTATCTATGTGCATGAACATTATTGTTTGATAATCATTGATGGAAATCTAGAAACAAGTAATCACTAGTCACTTTGCTCCGTTTGTCCTTATTTTTCATAAAGTATAAACATAAAATACCTAAATTGAAACAAACTAGTGCTAGTTTGAATAAAAAGAACTCAAACGAATTTCACCACAAACACAGTCACAATATCTACACACTATATCAAGGGAGAAAAATAGTTATATCACATAATTATTGATTATGATTAAAAAGTGTATTTGAATAATTTTTTTTATAAACACTTTAAGAAAAAAAATGATGATACAACATCTCTTATACTATAAATTAGGAATGACAAATAAGTGGATTGAATAAGTTTTTTTAGATAAATTATAATAAATTAAATAAAAAATTTATTAATTTAATTAAATTTATTAAAATTTTACTTAAATATTTAATCCATTTAATTTATTAAGAAAAATCCAATCTATTCATTAATAATTTTTGGATGGATGAATATCTAATCTATCTATAAAAATAATATTTTAAAAAAATATTTTTTATCTATTTTTTTTATAAATCATTATATTTTTATATAGTTTTTTAAAATTTACAAAATTCTCCTTTTTTTTAATATCAAAACAATCTTTTATAATCTTAATCAAATACATATCTCATATTGCAATCCGATATACTTTAAAAAAATATTAAATGGATTACTAACTATCTATAAAATGAAATAGATTAATTAAATTTAATTATTTAATTATTTATTATTATTATTATAATAAATGAATTAAATAAATTTACTTGTGGATGAATTAAATATAGGATGGATAAATGAATTCTTTTACCACAATACTCGAAACTAATATCAAGATTTCCATTTTTTCATTTTACTTTGACTCTAATAAGAAACTAATGACCAATGACTAATAACGTATCCATAAGAAATATCCATTAGTTTTCTTTCCTTCCATGGCACTTATTACTCTTTCATCTTTTTTTTTTTTCAATGTTTTTAGTACTCAATTGAGTTGTGAAATATAGAATACCAAACAAAATTTCACAACTAGCCTCAAATGAGCACTCTTGTGATTATTGTAAGCAACAACTCTCTTCCTGTGTTGTTTTCAATCTTATCCAATAATCAAGTAAGGACAATTATGTAGAAAAAGTTATTCATCCCTCTTAACTGGCGGTAGCTTTTCTATGAGAGGACAATTTTTTCTTTGCTGACTGTAATTAGTTTTTGATCAGAAGATATATTTAAAAACACAAAAAAGGGCTATATAATATACTTTACTACAATAAAAATAGTTTACCAACTTTTGATCGTATAAATCCAACAAGATTGCCCACCTTCATTGTAAAATTATTAGGTGATTTCAATACTACAGCACAAGTAACCTATATTCCAAATTTTTCTCCACAATATTGACGAATTTGTTAATGGTATCAAATATTCAAATAAAGATAGGAACACAAAAGTTTGTGAAGCGTCCTGATTTATTTTCTCATTATATATTTTATTTTTCTTTATATAGCGCCAATATTTGTTAATTACTAAATATTTAGTTTTCTATAGTAATTTTCTATTTAAATAGAATATTTTTGTATTGGCATGCGCTTTATTTATTTATTTTTAAAACATAATTTTACATGATTAAATTTTTGTTCAAATATAAATGTTTAAAACATTTACTTTTAAGTTTTATCAGCCTTTGTAACCTTTACACCCACTACTCTAAATTTCAAGTGACCACATATTTGAATCTACGGAAGTTACAATTAACCACAAGACCTAAAGATAATGTCGGGTTATAGTGTGTTTTTAAGGAAAAATCTCTTAAAAAAATAACTTAAAAGATTAATTTCTTTCGAAAAATAGAAATAATTGAAATGAATTTTGTTTATCTAAACAAAATCTTTTTCATGTGTAAAAAAATAAATAAATCATATTCTTATTAGCATACTTAAAATCTAATTATCTACCAACTGCACCATACTTTATTGATAAATTAGGTAATAATGTAATATTTCTAAGTAATCACTTTATTTCAATACTAAAGACAACAATTAAAGAATAAAAATATTTTTTTTATTAAAAAGTGTATTCTTTATGTAATTTTAATTTAGTATACTTTTCGATAAAAAAAAATTCTATATATCATTCTTAATCTAAGAGCACTGTTTAGCACGAATCTTTATTTAATTGATTATAAATTAATAAATAGATTTAGCAATTGAATGTAATTGATACTTTAATGATAACATGATACAGCAGCAGAATTAGTTAGCAGGTGGCTACCCTGTATTCCATTATAAATACACAATAAAGCTTCCAATCTCATTATGTGCAACTCTTTGATTTGTGCTCTGTTAGCTTCCTCTGTTTTCAGTTCATTGCTTTTCTCCTTTTAGTCCCATACACAACTCTTCTTTTTTTCTTTTTCAGCTTCCTTTGTTTTCAAAATAAAAAAGAAAATGGGTGGAAGTTCCCCTTGTGCCTCATGCAAATTGCTGAGACGCCGTTGCACAAAAGATTGCACCTTCGCTCCTTATTTTCCTTCTGATGATCCCCAAAAGTTTGCCATAGTTCACAAGGTTTTTGGAGCTAGCAATGTTAGCAAAATGTTGCAGGTATTTTTCTCTTACTCTTTCTGTTCTCTTCCCTCTGTCTTCTTTTGATAGAGAAAGACAAAAAAATACCCTTTTGTGATTAGTTAGTTGTTTGATCAATTTCAGAATCAAAGAAGTTAGGAAGTGGTGATTAAGTAGGTGTTTTCTGACTTGTGAGTTTGAGCCTAACTCAATCAATAATACATATAGGTGAAATTGAGAACTTATATGTATTATTATTGTTAACATCTGACTAGTCAACGTGGAATCTAGAAGCATAAGTACTTGCTAATGTCACAAGAGAATGGAACCTTTTGCTGTTGGTATTTAAGGGTCTTTGTTCTTTTGGAGTTCTTAGTAATGGTTTTTGAGTGGATTGGGGGCTCTAAATGGTTGATTCTTGTACAATGATTCAGGAACTTCCAGTTCACCAGAGAGCAGATGCAGTGAGTAGTCTAGTGTATGAGGCAAATGCAAGAGTGAGGGACCCTGTGTATGGTTGTGTTGGAGCCATATCCTACTTGCAAAATCAAGTTTCTGAGCTTCAAATGCAACTTGCAGTTGCTCAAGCAGAGATATTCTGCATCCAGATGGAACATGAGTCAGTGATGCCAACCTCAGAAATTGATCTAGACCACAAGTCTTACTTGTTCCAAAATGACTTCACTCAGTTTCTTGGTTTTGGCACTTCCAGCAATGTAATTCACAACTCTCTTGAGCAATTTTAGCCAAGACATGGTTTCTTGAATGAAAATTGCTCACATGGTTTGGTTTCTATTAGCCCATTGTTTGTCCATTTTTAATAGTTCAGAAAATTTTATTTCATACATCTGTGAGCTTTTTCTACTTAGCCAGTAAGGAGATTTCTAAGGTTGACTTTTGTATTTGATTGAGTAAACAAGTAACTTGGTACTTGTATGTTAATGCAGCAAGTAAGGACAAAATCGGTGGTTGTTTTAAAAAATGTCAAACATTCTGATAATTTTATATACAAAGGCTACCTCACCATCTGGAAAGAAAATTTATGTCTAGTAAACTTGTAAACATATGAGCACTTTGTTGTTTTTCTCACTAGGAGCACTCTCATTCGCTAGAAAATATCCTTGATTATTTGAGTTTTCTTTAAATCAGTCAAAATAATGTTTTTTTAAATCATATATGTACATGGTAATTTTTTTTTTCATTAAGTGTGAATCTGAAATGAGTAGAAAGAAACATGATGAAAAAAAATAAAATAAAAACAGATCATCTTAAATATTAATGGCTTAACAAATACAAACTACTTATGTTTATATATAACGCCGTTACGTGTCCTCTTTATGTCATAATATGTGTAATGAATTTTCACATTAAATTAAATTAATATTCATTTATTTATTAATCAGTTATTTAAATAAAAGAAATTTTTACTGTTCACAGTGTCATTAATTAACATTTAAATTTCTTCTATTAATCTTAAATATGATTTTTTTTATGTTGAGGAAATATATAAAAAGTGTGCTCTAAAGTATCTCTCAATTGATGTCAAGGAGAGATTAAAAAAAAAAAAAAATTCACTTAGTTCGGAGGATTCTTCTCTAAAAGAATTTTGCTTAACAAGATAACACAGATAAAGATAAAATTAAAAGAATTTTCTCTATTTTATTTTTGCTAAATGAACACTTTTAGGTATCTGTTATACAACTTTTAATCAATCTCCTTTGTTAACACTTGCTTAACGAGTGAAAGATTCATTCAATAATATAAATATCATTAGTTTATCTGTTTTGTAAGACATAGCTTACTTAATGAGTATGATTAGTTGTCAAATGATTTGTTACTAAAAAATAGAATTTGATCTACGTAAACTTTAAATAAGAGAAATTCTTATATTCATTCTCATTTGGTATGAAAATACATTGTTTTATTAGTTAGAAGATCTTTCCATCTCTATAAATCTCACCTCCATTTTTTATTTATTATTTATATTTCTATTTTAGATATTATCCATGATTCTCATCTCTTGAACTTATTCTAATTAATATATTTATCTTTGTACTTCAATATCATTATTTTTACTTTTATACTTGATTTTTGATAAGACAATCATCCATATCATGATATATGAATTTGTTTTTTTTAATCTTGAATTTAAGTAAAACTTTTAGTGAACTTTATTCAAGAATTAATATGATTTATCAACCATCATTTATTAAAATAACTCGATGCAAGTTGTTTTGTTAAATGTGCAAGTAATTGATATTTAATAAAGAAACCTAGGTTCTTTTCATCGAGAGATTAAGGTCAAATTAATATTTATAACCTAATTCTTGTTTTTGAAGCTCAAAGATGTATATAAAGTATTGATGAAGGAGAAAGTTGTTTGGTAAAATCTAACTATAAAACTCCATATTTCTTAATTAGTTACTTGTGAACGTATTCATTCTAGTACTAAATATAGATGTATTTCAAGTATTACATAAGTTTTCATGAGAATGATACTCTACTCACTATTGAATATTACACGAATTGATACACTTGTCATTCAGTTAACACTACTTTTACTCTCAAAATCAATAATGTAATACAAAAAAAACTTTAAAATACATCTTAGGATACTAATTTAATTTGTGAGTATGACCTATCAACAATTAAATATTTATAGTTAACAATGGGGATTAATTGTCTTGACAAAAAAACAATATTTTAAAAAAAAATTACAAACAAACTAATTAAAATTGACTATATTTTAAAAAATAAAAAAAACATATTTAAACTTAACAACAATAACCAACAAGGTACAATAAAGTTGATAAATGACTAAAAATTTTAAATATATTATTAAAAGTTTGGTTTTTTTACCATTTGTAAGAAAAAAAACTTTATTAAGAAATATTCTTAATGAAAAAAATTTAACAATAATAATAATGTGAGGTAAGTTGAATCAAGAGGTAGAATACACTTAAAAATAAGTTAAAATGACAGTTTGATATTTTTTTTCAAGATATAATTTTATCATTTATTTTTTTATTTTAATATTTATAGGGATGGTAAAACAAGTCAAACTAACTAGCGATCAACCCATTAAAAATGGGTCGGGTTGAGTTGTTGAACAAAAAATAGGTTGAATATCTTGGTTTGCTTCGTTTAAAGGTGAGCTAACGAGCTGACACATCAGCCAACCAAATTTTATTTAAAAAAAGATAAAATTTTGCGCATTATTTTGGACACCTCTTCTAATATATTTCTTTCTTAATATATAAAGAATTTACATAAATTAGTGTATCTAAATAATAAAATAAATATCAAATTATAACATATTTGATTTGATTTATTAAATATTAAATTTATTGTATAATAAAATAAATATATAATTATAATTAATAGTTCTTCCATCATATTTGCGGTACAAAAAACCTCAAATTACATATAATAAAATATATCAAATGTGCAAATAGATTTGCTACATAATAAGTTATAAATTTCACACATAATAAATCTAATGTGATTTAGTTAAACTTAATGTTAAATATAATAAATAAAATTTAAGTAGATTGACGAGTTACCTTACTCTGACCTAATTCAGTAGATCCACCATTTGACTCAATGAATTGACTGCTTAAACACATGAAACAAGTTAAACGAGTTAAAATACCTAACTTGATCCACCAATAAAAGTTATAAGAAATTTTTAATTGTATTTTATTAAATTACTCTTTAATTGCATACTCTTATTTTATATTTTTTTTATGAATAAAATTATAGATATAACACATTCCATAACTATTAAACAGAGAATTAATGACATACTAGAGATTTTTAAACTAAAACTATTATTTATTTAATAATTAATCAAAATTAATAATATTTAGTTTAACCTAAAATTTTCTACGTCGAACTAAAAGTTAACAAAAAAAAAATTATTAAAAAAAACTTATTTTATATTGTTTTTAATCGATAAAAATATTCAAATTTGCTGTAAGTAATTTAAATAATTAACGCACATTACTCGATAACTAAGCTAGATAACTAAGCTAAAGCCTTTATTCTTATTTTATAAAGTTAATTGTATGCTTCCATTTCTTTTTTAACTTTTCCCTTTCCCTCTTTTAATTTATAACAGGATGTCACTTTTTTTGTGCTTAAAAGATTGAACGGGAAACACGTGGATATTGATAATTTTCTTAAAGTAAAATGGTAGTTGAGATACTTTTGATTTTCAAAAACAAAATAGTTGTTAATACGCGCCTTTTTCTTATCCCTTAAATCACAATTTATATATATTTTTAAATATTCTTATATAAAATTTATTTAAAAATAATTTAAATTAATTCAATTTTAATGAACTATGAATGTCTTATATATATATATATATTATCAATTATTTAAAAAATATTATAAATATACCTTTTAAAATAATTATTATAAAAATTAATAATCTTGTTTCACATATCAATTCATAATTAAATGATTATAAAAAGTAATTCGTTATAATTAAGTTCTTTTACATATACACCAACACATTTTTATAATCAATTATGTAATTATGACCTTTTTCTATGTACAAAACTACAAATTGTTAGTTCTTTTTCTCTCTTTTATCATTTGCTTTTATTAGATGTAAGATTCCCTAATATATGAACTCAAAACTCATGTTAAATTACACATTATGAATAAAGATGCGAACTTCATGGATAAAGAAAATGTGCGAGATACAATGTCTTTACATTGTTTCTTAGAAGTTAGATATAATTTAGCTTTCACCTTTTTCTTTACTTTACCGTACCATTTAGATAAACTTGTAACCACAATGAACACAAGAACTCACATGCACAGGCTCACACGAATTTTATATGAGTTAATTATCTATATATTGTCAGTGTAAAACTTTTTACACTAGCAACCAATTACATCTTTTACATTATTTTATTTTATTTTTATTTGATTAAATGAACAAATGACATGATACTATTAAGAGATATAATTGGTTGACAGTGTAAAAAATCTTTAAACTGGCAGTGTATAAATGATTAACTCATTTTATATTCTAAAAGATAGAGATAAAAAGAGAGGAAAAGAAAAAATTGAACTACCCCTAAACATCTAAATTAACTATTACTACTTGATAAACAAGCACATGCGTAGTTCAATGATTGAGCTAGTGCTTAAAACCAATGATTATCAGTTTATGACTTAAACAGGTTATTAAGCGCCAATGATTTCAAATTAAAATCCGTTGGTTTAAGCATTTTAATTAAGATCCAATTATCTGTAGTGTATATAAAGAAAAATAATATTAGAAAAACTAAAACCTTATGCATGCTTGAAAGAGCTTAATTTCCACTCTAAAAAAATGAAATTATTATTCCTTTTTTATATTTAAAACAACAGATAAAAACATACATGCAGTTAATGAGATGCCGAGGATTCCCGAATCAAACATTACTATCTAATTTGATGAAAACTCAGTAATGCTCACAGTTTAATCAAGGACTCTAGACAGAATGAATTTAATTTAAATATTCAAATAATTTAAAAATATTATACTTCTATTCAAACATTTGTTTTTAAAATTACATTTATAGTGACTTTAATTAGTTAGCAATATTTTTTTTAGTTAATCACCTATATGTCAGTTACTTATTTAATGAAATAATAATAAAATAAGTAACTTTAAAAGATATGATTGGTTGTCAGTGTAAAGTTTTACACTGACAGTATATAGATGGTTAACTCTTTTTTTTTTACCCTTAGAATATATGAAAATACAATAAAAATTTACATGTAATCCCAATGCAGTCATTAAAGAAAATGAAAAAATTTATATGCACTACAATTCGTACTATTTTTTAGTCAAAATCAAAATTTTATTTCGATAATATAGGTTGACATTCAATAAAGATTGCCAAGATTAAACTTGAATTTTATCCTTGTTTTGAACTTTTAAATTAAAATTTTCATTATTCATAAAAGATGCTGAATTATATACATGACAACAGTTGAATAGAAGATCAATAGTAGGTTAAAATACATTAGAAGACAAATATCTACCAATCTGAAATTCTGCCACTTTGTGGAGACAAAGAAAGTGATGGTGGGAACCACATTTATCTTTTGAGGGCTCGAGGACAATACTTCCAAAAGAAGTTTTGTTTTGGAATTCAGATGCTACCAATCCATGCACCCTCTCCAGTTCCCTTCTCTCTTTGACTTTGTTTTTTATTCTTTCACTCATTTAAGTCAAAGTAAGATTTTCTTGCACTTTGCTTCAACACCAAACAAATTAACATTTTGCACAAAAAAGGCTACACTATATTTAATTTGAAGCTATCCATATACCTATTAATTACTTTTGCCCGCCGCCATACATGTATACAAACAAAACCCTTTTGGTGTAAATTCAAATGTTTATTGCGCAGCTTGGAGCGTTGAACCTTATAGTTACAGTTCTCTAATCTAGTCCCCTAATTCTAGACGCGTGGTATGCTATGTTGCACAAAGTTGAAAGTTGTAGGATAATAGAGTTCAAAGTTAATGAATCATTAGAGAAAAGTCTTTATCAAAAATTGCGTTGGGTTACATTAATAATATCTTTTTATTCTTTAATCTTTAGCAAGTACTCTTAGAATACTAATTAACATTTTCATAGAGTTTTATAGCTAGAAAATGCACCATACTTTCTGACTAAAACTACAAAAAAATAAACAAGCACTTGGCTTCACAGTTTCATTGGACAGGAATGATTTAAAGAGACTTATTGTGTCCGGTTACTTGTATAGAAATTATGAACTTTGGAAGCTGAAAATCATGCCAAGTTTTATTCTTCATTGCATTGCAGCATAAGCATGGTATGCAATGTTATATCCAAATATAAGATAGATACTTCCTTAATAGGAGGTCTGATACATTCTAAATGACAATTTAGAGACCTTTTATCTCCAATTGATAATATGGACACTCTTCTAAATTCTGATTTGTTCCATCAAAACCACAGACTTGTATAATAAATTTGAGACTAGAAATGCTAGGAGGAACTTTGAGCTCAGAAACATAGAAACAATTTACATGTGCTACTCCAAGATACTCATGCACATCTTCTAATGTTGTGCTTGGATTACCATCTGCTAGCTTTGGTATTTTCTCCACATACACGTTGTAGTGTGGAAATACAAAATTCTTTCCATCTTTCAGTTTCCATGAAATTTTAACACTAAGGATCCTTGAATCCTGAGGACCAGAATTCCAATTGATGTATTCACCATCAACTAGCCAGAAAGTAGAAACTGGAAAATCTGGCTTATAGTTAGAAGTCTTGACTGTGATATGACCAAGAACCGCAAAATAATCAGTTGAAGAAGCCACAGTATGATCAGGACCAAATGGCCTGGATTTCGGTCTCAGTTCATTGGATGGAGCATTTGACCTATGGCACAAAGCATGGATTTCACTCAGAATGTATCCATTCATTTCAATTGTACCTTCATGTATAACCCATCCAGGGGCATTTCCCTTGTGTTCAATTGTTGGGACTACTTTGCTAAATCCACTTGGCAAATGATCCATTCCATGCGAAGTGAGTAGTACAGAAATTGTGTTGCTGAGGCTATTAGTGAACTGAAGTACAAGTCCTAAAGAAGAATTGTTATCAGATTTCACCTGCATTTAACCACAGACTTCAGGTGTTAAAACTAAACTAAGAAAAGTGGGCAAATATAGGAATATCATGTTGTGTATAATGATTTTGGTGAACTAGTCTGCATGTGCCCTACACCATTGGTCAAGGAAAGATATATACCTCTCACTTTCCTTCCCTCAAATAAGTAACCAGATTCAGCTCCTTAAGAAGATAAACTAATTTTTAGTAAATTTTTATTATTGCTGTTGTATTGACATCTATTTCAAGTTAGATGAGTACTCTAATGGTCAGGGGTCTAAAGTTCAAGACAGTTGAGGATAGATTTGAATTTCAAGACAAAGTGAGCCTGTGTATAGTTCAAGCCCAAAGGTTTCTTCTTAATTTTTATGATTTTGGAAGAGATGGGCATGCAACCTCTCTATCATACTTCAAACCTGAGGATAGATTGATGTGCAGATTTTTCAGCAATTTTTATAGAAGTGATAGCTTACAGAATAAAAGAAGTGGATAGGCAACTCGGTTAAAATGAACTCTCCTTGAAAGATTCTTTTCTTGAAATAAGCATCTCTTTCAAGAGATCCTTTGAATGTAATATTTCCCCCTCCACCATATGATGCTTGCTTCAAGCTACATTTTATACGCAAGCAAACAAATACTTGAGATCTTATCTGAACTAGTTCTGAAAAGTAGTAATTTAATACCTTGATATAAAATAGAATAGAAAAGAAAGGAGGCATACAAAATCATGATAGGTTGTAATATACAAAAAAACTAAAAGTACATAATATGAAATGTGTTTGCACACTGAGGTCAACCATCAAACTCTATAAGTTCCAGAAGCATATAATCATAGCAATATGTGATAATTAATCATATTTCCATTGTTACCAAAATAGGCCCTCAAAATTCAATAAGGAAAGAAAGAACCTATAACATACACCGAATTTTCTGCGTATCAGAGTTAATTTTGCCAGCTATACTTCAAATAGTATGCAATATGCTATATACACATTCTGATGAAATTTCCAGTTAAAGAAAATTATAAAACATTGGAATTTTATCACTTACTCTACAAGAAGTTGAATAGAATTTGCAGTAGAATCAACAAACTCAAGGAGTGGCTGCACGCAAATTTGTGAGTTAGGGAATGATTAAACTGTTTAAGTCAGTAGTACTATAATAGTATGACGAATGAACCCAATGAAGGCATCATAGTTAACAAACATTGCTATGATATGTTGTATGTGATTAAAGTAATGCCAGTTTGTCATTCAATAATCAATTTTACAAGTAACAACGGCAGTGAACTTGAAAATTTGGAATAAATATTATTGGAGTATTCTCAAATGATCACAATATTTTACTTGTTATTACTATTAGCTTTATTAACTATTAGCTTTATTAAAAGGTGATACTTAAAATCAATCCTTAATCTCAAAAATGACAGAATTCGAAAAATGGAGTACATATGATATTTTTCTAATTCTCCCTATTAGAAGTCCCACATCGGATAAACATCTTTCTTAAAAAGCATATAAACTTTTGTAAAAATTCTTATGTAAAAGGTCCGACATTTCTAGAATAATTTCTTGAGATATGAAGTCTATTTGATGTGGGGCTTTTAATAAAATCTCCCCCTTAATCTCACAATTTATCTATTCTCTTTTAGCATTTTTTTTTTGTTTTTTAGAGAAGAAATTTAAAGAGAAAAACAACTCCTATATGAGGTTTTCTTAGTGTTTTATTCTCCAAATTTAAGAGTGTTATTATTATCTCCTTGAATTTAGAGAGGTCTTGTAATCTTTTCCATGTAGTAAAAATTGTGTTAAGTTCCTCTTTTTTCATTTTATTTGCATGACATTATTATGTTATTCTGAATCTCTGATGTCAACACTTCCATTTATCAACGTTGTAATAGTTGAGCCAACAACAAGAAAGTCTTTATAAGGTGCATACCTGAACGCCTTGGGAAGAAATATTGCACCAAGTAGCATCTGATACTTGGTCTCCATCAACTGAAATATGATAACCACGTCCCTAAAAGTAACAAAGAATGGCCACATTTGAATAATACAATACACAGGTACATGATCTAAAAATCTATTGCTTCTCCATCATGATCTGATTACCAAAATAATATCATCAAACAATAAAAAGTACGTGCAACGCCTCTTATAGATCGTATTTAGTGAACTACATGCAGAGCGTGTTTTGAAACAAAAGGGGTCTAGGCCAGATTTCTAGTCATAGACAAACTGAGGGATTGATACCATCTCAAGTCTCAAATGCTCTATTAGGATGTTCCAACTACTTTAGGTTATAAAAAATGTCCAATCTGATATCAACCTCGTGGCCCGATGCATTGTTTCAGCTAAAATTTTAAACAAACCAGTAAGGACGCCAAAGGGAATCATTTAAGAGTAATAAGTTAGAGATAATGATGTCATTATAATATATAAGATAGACATTAGAAGCCATTAAATTTAACTACAGTTCTTACCTGATCAAAATTTGTGTAGAATGGTAGTGTTCTAAGATACTTTCGCTCTATGCCCCAAGATTTTTCCACCAGACTCCACCAACTGCAAATGCAAATGCATGATCATGATTATGGCACTAATAACACATTCAAGGTTTGATTTGTCCATCATTAATATTAATATAAAAAGGTATTTTGAACATATAAATTGGGTCTCCGCAGATGAAATTTCAAGTAAACGATGCAAATTTTGAAGCCGTAAGATTGGAGGAAAACAAGTTAGGATAAAATTTTCTTAAATATTTGGCCATTGACTTTTGTGAGTTTCTTAGATTATTTATCAATTGGCCTTTTGCTTTCAGTTCTAGAATTTTAATGGTCTCTAATATGCGTTATGGGCCACTTTGGGCATTGGATTTGTTTCTGAATAAATTATAACGCATCAATTTGATGAACCTTGTGACATTTATAAAGGAAAAAATACTGACAGGACAGCTACACATTACCGATTCTGAGCAGTCTCAAAATCTGGTTCTTGCTTAGTCTCGTAGACCCATCCAGGAGCAAATATTGCAGCAGAGACATCATCTTTTCTTATTACGTCAAGAGCAACATTTGTCTGACACATCAATAATATGAAATCAGGAAAAACACACATATCCTACTCGGCTTTACCAATCATAATACCTGTCCAATATTTATTTTTCTCGAAATTCTTTTAACAAGCTTATCTCCCACACGAAATTTCAACAGAAAAGGATGGATACCATAAATATATTTTAAATGCACTTCCCCAATATTGCACAAAACAGATTAATTAGCATTTTGTAAAAGCAAAATGTTATCTAATTACAAGCATCAGAAGTTATACATGTACAGAACACGACCAATTCCAGAAAAATGCAATATAATTACCCTTCAACAAATAACAGCAGATAATGCCTATGGTCTATGGATGTTCACCATTTATCTATTAAGTTAGGTGTATGTCCATGCACTCAAGAAACAAAAGAATTCCGGTAAGGAAAAAAGTTGTGTGCTTCACTATACCAAGGTTGTCGCAATCAAAAACTTCTAAGAATACAGTTATAATTTTAAAAAGAACATCATGATGGGCAAATGCAGTTCTAATATAAGTTCCACTCACAACAATTAAACATATAATTCCAAATAAGTTTAAAACTGGCAAAACAAAACATAATTTGCGGCTTTCAAATAAAAATGTGGGCATCACAGATCACATACATTCCACTGTCCACCACCATATGTGTTCCTTCCAAATACGTCAATCCCCATGTACACATCAAACTTTCGATCACCAGCAACAGCAGCAGATCGCCTTGGATAATCTTCCTGCATGGTATTGATAGTAATAAAATTAAAATTAACTCAAACTAAAAATAAAAACTGACCAAGCAGCAGTATTGCAGCAGCATAAACAATACCTTCCATGAATAATTTGTAAATATCCCATCACATATATCAAAGAAAGGCTTGTTAAGTTCATTTAGTTCATTTTGCCACGATAGATCACCGTTAATTGTGACACTGTCATACCTGCATGACCGATAAAGGACATAAAAGTCAATTGCTGGCACCTTCCATTTCAGTAAAAAAATCACAAGAATTTTGTGTCTTCTAATGCTCACCATATCACTAGTGATCCAGGCACTGAAGAATGCGTTGTTAATGATAAATGGTTCACAAACTCTTTCAAATTAGGAATCTGCTCCGGCTTCAATGATACCTCCATATTCAACTGCAAATGAGTGTTAGTATTTGAATCATTGAAAAAGAATAAAAAAGTTCCATGTTGCAAGGTATTAGACTATTTATTGTGTATCTATTTATAGTATAAATATGCATGATGCCCTTAATATGATTCTCTTCATAACGTTAATATCGTTGAGAACGTCGGTCACATTTCTAGGCAACTCACAAAACTGTCAATGAAACACTTCTTTTTTAAAATATATAAGTTTTTACATGCTTTATTTACAGCATAAACACTAAAATTTCCTAGTGCAATGTTCGAATATTATAATATCCTTTATTTTCTTCCAAATTTATTTCCATTTTCTGTTTTTGGCCGTCTTTAGGTAACACAAACTTTTCTTGCTATTTCAGTTTTAAGATCTCAATTTCATAGAACCTGCACTAAACATTCTAGAAGAATAAACGTGGCACTATATATGTGAGAAGGTGGTGCCGCTTTGCTAGTGCAGGTTAATAGTTCACACATTGTATAATAAAATAGATATCATGATGTGAACGGAAATCAATTATGACTTAGACAAGAAACAAGAATGAATGCTATTTATATAAACAGAGATGAAAAATTGTTTAGTTTTTACCAGCCACCCGTCAAAGCCTAAATTAGCAGCAAGCTCTGCCAAAAGTTTTGCATACATTTGGGCAGACTCCTTTGTTGAAAGCAGTTCATGACAGACAGCAATTCCATCATCCCCTTCAGTGATAAAAGTCCCCAGCACCTAAGAGATCAAGGGTACAATTTCAACAAACAAAAAGTCCAAGTTAAAAGTTTCTGCTGTTATTCAATTTGAAACTAGTCAATAGTCATAATATAGGAGATGCAATAGAACTATATACGTAGCTTAACTAAACACTTTGTAATAAATAATGTGACAAAGTCATAATATAGGTGAGATCATTATTGGTCTAAATAACTATCAATTTTATCTCACCATCACCAAATTCAAGAACTAACTTAAAACCATCTCAATAAAAATTAAAGCCAAAGCTTAAATCTCACATAAGCAACTAATAGTTAGAGTCTGGTTGAATATAAAGTTTCAAGAACTTTTGAAAGTTTCTTCAGTGAAAAAAGTTGTTTACTTTCGGTAAAAAAAATACTCAAATTTTTTTTTTATAGCTTTATATCTAAACAGGTTCTTAGAATACCTTAACACCATGACGATGAGCTGTATTAGTCCAACAAGGAGGAGGAAGCGTGACTAGATTGTGAGAGAAGTAGACAAACACATCCATCAAATACCAATGCCATATGGCATATGCATCATGATTAGACCCTCCCTGGACCCACTTATCATCTAAATACCCCCCAGCCATATCATGGCACACTAATATTCTTCTACGATTAGACAATGGTGCAGAATAGGCACTTTCATTGGGAATTGAGGCTTTGTTAAAAGGGTAGTGAAAGGACTGAAAATAGGAGCGTGACTCTAGCTCCTTGAGGGTCTTGATTGGATATGATATGGGCACGGAGGGTTTCTTAGGATCAAACTCGGACTCGGAAATGGAGTGAGACATTATGGCAGAGATTTTGGTTGTGCTTTCTAGATCGAAAACAAGTGTGTTTTGAACAGTATGTAGACTCGAAGGAGACGTGGAACTATACAAGTCATAGTTTACTTGCATTGACTTCACGTGGCATGTGGATAACTTTTATAGTCGATCAGATCTACATTCTACAAAGACTAACGCATAATAATTTTCAAGCTTTTTTACTAAAGTGGGGTTCTTTTAAAATTTTATTACGCAAATGGGGTGTTTTTGAAGTATTTACGCTTTTGGGGTTGTTTATAACGGTGTTGCTATATTCCATAGCGACACCGGTAACACGTGGCATTTTTTTCACTTCAGGGAAGTCATGAAAGTCATATAGATAAAGTCGCTACAGCTCATAGCGCCACTAAACGGCTTAAATAAAGTCGTTATAGCTCATAGCGCCACCAAACGACTTAAAAAAATAAATTCAAATGTAAAAAATAAATTAAGTTAATAATTTAAAAAAAAAAATTAGTGGCGCTATGGCTTATAGCGACACAGTGTCGCTATAGGCCATAGCGCCACAGGAATATAAATTAAAATTTGAAAAAAAGAAATTAAGTTAATAATTTATTGGAATTAAATAAATTTTTGTAAAATAATTTACTAGAATGTTGAGTATATAATAATTTTTAACAGATATATTTTATTTAAAAATTGCGTATAGTGTATAATAAAAAATGAAAAAAAAAAATTCTAGGGACAGAATTTATTTATATAAATGGAAATAATAAAAAAATACAAAAAAAAATGAATTACAAAATAATTTTTAGAAAAAAAAACTAGTACAATAAATCTGGAGAAAAAAAAAACCCAATAACCCAAAAAAATGAAATTTTTTTTAAAAAAAGGCTAGTATCGCTATGGGCTATAGCGACACAATGTCGCTATGGACCATAGCGACACTAGCCTTTTTTTTTTTAAATTCGTTTTTTTTGCTACTTAAAGTCGCTAAAGTCGCTATGGCCCATAGCGACCAGCCTTTTTTTTTTTAGTTTTTCGTTTTTTTTACCTCAGTTTTTTTTTAAATTTTTTATTTTTTTTGGTTGTTGGGTCATTTTTTTCTCCAGATTTATTCTACCAGTTTTTTTTTAAATTTATTTTGTAATTCATTTTTTTTTGTGTTTTTCTACATTTTTTCCCTTCACTTATTTTTTGCCCAGTTTTTTTTAAATTTACATATAAAAAAATTATTAATACACTTAAATAATAAATTTTATTTAAACTACACAATTAATTATTTTAATTAAATTTATTAACAAATTACTGAAAATATATTTTTAATTATATTAAACAAAATACTTAAAATATAAATTTAATTAAATTTGTTTATTTCTGTACTTATTTAATTAAAAATATAAAAATTAAGTTTTTAAAATGAAATGTTAATATTTAAAAAATAAATATAGTTTATGTACTTTTAATTATAAATATAAAAATGCAAAATTAAAAATAAAATGTCAATATTGCAAAAAAAAATATAAAATGTGTGGCGCTAGGGCCCATAGCGACACCATGTCGCTATGACCCATAGCGTCTCTCTTAAAAAATACATATAATTTAATTTAAAATTATATTTTTATAAAACTTAATTTTCTTTTTATAAATATATAATAAATACTTCAGTTTATTATTTTTATTTTATATTTCTATTATTTTCGTTTTTTTTATTTTTTTCTTTATAGAGTGTCGCTATGGGCTACGTTATTTTTCTTAGTCCATCAACTGTGGTGGTCCAGCCTATAGCGACACTCATGTGGCTCATTCCAGCCAACCAAGACCAAAAAAAAAATGTCACGTGTCACCGGTGTCGTTATGGGCGTTATAAACAGCCCCAAAGGCGTAAATAATTTCAAAACAACTCCATTTACGTAATAAACTTTTAAAACAACTCCACTTTGTTCAAAAAGCCTAATTTTCACATGGGATGGATCATGTGGATACTACTTTTTCACGGTCATCAGTAGAAAAATATTAAAAACCTGTTTCTCGCCTAAATTTTTATAATATATATATGATTATCATTATATAAATTTCACGAATCTGAATAAAAAGTGTCGACAACTCTTTTAGTATCTATATAAAGTTTATTCAATAATAGAAACGTGTTAAGAAAACCATGTTAAATGCTATTTAAAGGAACACGGTGTGAGTACTTATTTTAGAATGCACGTGAACGAGGACTTCGACTAAACACGTACTCCATGTGTTCTCTAATCTCTATAAGAAGAAAAAAGAATTAGTTTTACACAGAAAATTAATTATCTATATTAAATTTTACTAATCTCATTTTTAATTTATCTTCATTATAAATGTCAAAAGAAATAATATAATAAAAATGTCATCTATTAAAAGAGAAATATTTTTGAAAGAATGTAATTAAATGAAATAAAAGTAAAAGTAATTAAAATTTATTTATATTTAAAAATAAAAAATATGAGTATCTTTTATATA